TCTAGACCGAGATCACAAAACTTGATGTTTAGATTGGTCAAAGATTTTAAGAGTACCTCAAGCTGATACCCCCAATCGCAAACGGTCAGCCATAACGGGTGTTTGTGTTTGCCGACAGAATGGGGAGGTGGTGGTGGGGGAGGAGGGGGGGAAGGAGGGTCAGTCTTTCAGGAACATCTCTGGAATGGCTGGTGGCTCCTTGCTTCACGGCTGACAGGACCAAACGATAGCAATACGTGAGCAATTGATTACATCTTTGTTCGCGCCGGGCACCGCTGCCAATGGGTGCAAAAAGGCGCGAAAAGCAAATATGATTAGCCCGACTTCCGAGGCGCGGAAATATTTACAGTTGAGCTGGCGGGCGTCCCGTGTGTAGGGATTTTAATTTTCTAGATGAAGCGACATCCAGAGTATCAAAGTTTGTATGGCTTTAATTCATCAGGCCCCGGCCAACGTTATGGCCGCTTAACTGCGTGATGAATGATTTGACACACCGTTTGCTCAGTCGTTTTGCAGACGACATCCGAGGTTAGATATCGCGTGCGTCATGACGCGGCACATCCGGCTATATTCAGTGAATTTAGACATCATAAAACCCGCACGAGAGCTCGTATTTATACAATGTTTTTATTCCTAAAAATATTTTGTAATATGAGAATATTTTGTCCGGTTAGGTTATATACGCTTCGTTAAATACTCCAAACATATAAGAGTTTTGTAAACAGAATTGTGTAAACAATGTCTATAAATAGATTCGGGTTTCAAAACGAGGTAGAATCGTTTAACAACAACCCGGATTTATGAAGTGTGGCGATTGAGAAACTCCGCTATTAAAGGGAAGTAAATCTTTCCCTACGTACCCAGCATGATCGCGGCGTTTTGATTGGACGGGAGGAAAAAGCCAAGTCATTTCCAATAGCCGTAGAAAAACGCAATAACACAGGACACTTAACTTTTTCCATTCCTTGACATCATCGGTGAAAAATTACTCGGTAATCGCCGTGAGTGTATTGGGGAAAAGGGGAGGAAATCGGTGTTTTTTTCAATAGAGTTGCGCCCCATCTATTGGAATTAGATCTTGTTTGTCTCCAACCAAGTGGAATTAGCAAGGACTTTGTTTTTTTTTTCTGCCGTCATTCGTCAACAACGATCCCATTACTAAAGAAAAGTCGACATTTGTTTTTCACGCTTTTCGGAGATTTCGTTTAAACTCACCCTCCCCCCTTTCCCCTCCCACAATTAAGAGACACGGGATTCTTTGATTTCTCCATTTGCTGATAAACAGGATTAGCATTAGGCGGATAATGATACCCAAGTTTATGAGCTTGAAATGTTTGCCGGCCTAGCCGTCTTGAGCAATCCATTATACCCTATTGTGAAACAGGGAACGCTCTTTAAAAGTCAAATTAAGCCGGACACAAAATTGGATTCTGCAATTTGGATCCTCTAATGAAAAGCACCTCTTCTTCCGGTCGCGCGTTCCGCGTCCATTTCTATTTTAAAATCGTTCACGGTGAAAGCGGTATCCCACACACGGCGCGCGGGATTGGCGGCTCGCGTCTTTGAGGAACCGGCACCGCTTTAATGCCGGCCGATCGCAGGCAAGGCGCGGTATCGATTTTATAATTTTCTTCTCTATTATACAAATTACTTAATTACCGGAGACTGAGAAGGCCGGGGGATGATTTATTCCAGGCCGTTGTCGCTCGCTCGTTTACTTTATCCGAGGGTTGGTGTGACTAGACGGCCATTTTTTGGTGTGACTAGACGGCCATTTTTGGTGTGACCAGACGGCCATTTTTGGTGTGACTAGACGGCCATATTTGGTGTGACTAGACGGCCATATTTGGTGTGACTAGACGGCCATTTTTGGTGTGACTAGACGGCCATTTTTGTGTTACTGGACGGCCATTTTTGGTGTGACTGGACGGCCATTTTTGGTGTGACTAGACCGCCATTTTGGTGTGACTAGACGGCCATATTTGGTGTGACTAGACGGCCATATTTGGTGTGACTAAACGGCCATTTTTGGTGTGACTAGACGGCCATTTTTGTGTTACTGGACGGCCATTTTTGTGTGACTGGACGGCCATTTTTGGTGTGACTAGACCGCCATTTTTGCTGTGACTGGACGGCCATTTTTGTGTGACTAGACCGCCATTTTTGCTGTGACTGGACGGCCATTTTTGGTGTGACTGGACGGCCATTTTTGGTGTGACTAGACCGCCATTTTTGCTGTGACTGGACGGCCATTTTTGGTGTGACTAGACCGCCATTTTTGCTGTGACTAGACGGCCATTTTTGTGTTACTGGACGGCCATTTTTGGTGTGACTAGACTGCCATTTTTGGTGTGACTAGACGGCCCATTTTGGTGTGACTAGACGGCCATTTTGGTGTGACTAGACGGCCATTTTTGGTGTGACTAGACGGCCATTTTTGGTGTGACTAGACGGCCCATTTTGGTGTGACTAGACGGCCATTTTTGGTGTGACTAGACGGCCATTTTTGGTGTGACTAGACGGCCATTTTTGGTGTGACTAGACGGCCATTTTTGGTGTGACTAGACGGCCTTTTTTGGTGTGACTAGACGGCCATTTTTGGTGTGACTAGACGGCCATTTTTGGTGTGACTAGACGGCCATTTTTGGTGTGAGTAGACGGCCATTTTTGGTGTGACTAGACGGCCATATTTGGTGTGACTAGACGGCCATTTTTGGTGTGATTAGACGGCCATCTTTGGTGTAGGTTGGCGGCCATTATAGCCGGAGATCGGGGTTGGTGTGACTAGACGGCCACAATGGACGGCCATCCTCTCTGGTTTACTCGAGTAAGGACATTGCTCACGATCTGGCCAAAAGTCAGCGAGGCTTCATCAAAACATCCGAACAGGGGACCTAACAGCCTCGCTCCAGTAGCGCCACACAGGCCACTAGCGCTGACATCTCAGTACAGTGGACCTAACAGTGTTGGAGAATAAATTCTCTAGGCCACCAGTCCTTGAGGTAAAATATTGGGGAGGGTGGGGGGTAGATTATTTATGAAAGTTCCGGGGTTGAACGCACGACCAAGATTTGATGGCCGGAGAGAGTTTTCCATTTGCTGGGATTACTGTATGAAATATGGGTGCACGGCGTCAGCCAGGGGGATACAGCGAGGGTCAGATGAAGAGTCGTCGTCCCCTTACCCCCCCCCCCCCCCCGGCGTTCCCGACCTCACTAAATTAGAGCGTGCCGATGAAGTTGGGGGTCCATTTCTGCGAGGATGTGGTGTGCTGTGTTCGCCACACCATCCATACCTCTGTATATCCCTTCGTGTATCCGTCATTTCATTAATCCATCCATCCATCCATCCATTCGTCCGTCCGTCCATCCGTCCGTCCTTCCGTCCATCAATCCGTAAATCCGTCCACCCATGCGTCCATCCGACCATCCGACCCTCGAAACGTCAAACCATCAAACAATTGAACCATCCACTCATTCATCAAATTCAAGCTCAATTTTTAGGACCTATCTTCAAAATCAATCCTGCAACAGGGGTCGACGTGGTCGAGTCAGTAAAACTCATGGTTACTAAACCGAAAAGTCTCGAGTTCAAACCCTCTGGCTGATAAGGCTCGATCCCTTCCAACACTAAAAATTAAGAACGAAGAAAAAGAAACCTGCGACAAAAAAACATAAATATCGAATATAATATGGTTGTAAATAATGCCATTGTTTTTACATACGCAAGAATTTAATAGCACCGGTGAACAACAGATCAAGATTCCTAGATTTTCATTATTTAAAACAGTATGTTTCATAAACCGGGAATGATCTCCCCTAAACTTTCTCGAATATTCTTATATAACTTGGAATATAGACATGATTTTTTAATTACTTAAACTTTTAAAAATAGAATAGAATCTCATAGATAAAAGAATATTATTAGTACTTTTTAAATTTACATGCGTTTTTTGAGAAATCGGAAATAGCGTAAATTAGTACTCTCGGTAAACGGAAATTACTCAAAATTTTATAGAAGGTAGAGAATTAGATCTTTTACTTAGAAGTGACATTTCATTTATCTATCTGAAATAGTACTCAAGTTATAGGCTTTTGAAAATTCAAAGTAGAAAAAGTACCACTTCCGGTTATCGGAAATCGCTCAAAAGTTTATACGGATCTACGATTTTGATTAAATACTTATATATGAAATTTCATCAACCTATCTGTAACGGTACTCAAGTTATCGTGTTTACACACAGACAGACAGACACACACACAGACACACAGACATACGGACAAGATTGCAAAATTATGTTTTTCCGTATCATTGAGGTATAAAAATCAGAGATTTGTAAAAATCTCGATTTTTTTTTTGCACCATTACAAGACTTGCTCTATAGGCCTACTTCGTATATACGAGAAAGTAAAACTGAGCAAACAAACTATATTAATAAAAGTAATTAAAGTCGCCATGAATAAACCTACCAGTCGCCATGAATCCAGTCGCCTTGAATAAACCCACCATTCGCCATGAATAAATCAACCTGTCGCTATGAATAAAGTCGCCATGAATAAACCCACCATTCACCATGAATAAACCCACCAGTCGCCATGAATATACCCACCATTCGCCATGAATAAATCCACCTGTCGCTATGAATAAAGTCGCCATGAATAAACCCACCATTCACCATGAATAAACCCACCATTCGCCATGAATAACCCACATGAATAAACCCACCATTCGCCATGAATAAACCCACCATTCGCCATGAATAAACCCACCAATCCCCATGAATAAACCCACCAGTTTCCCGTCCCATCTATTCCAACGCTCACACAAGAAGCTCACACCAGCATTAACATAAAAACTATGTCCATTAAGCCCGCGCTAAAAGCATTTTGTCATTAACTGTAAATGAAACGAGACAGTATTGCCCTATTCCTAATGCAAAGCGGTCCATTTGTATTCCATCAACACAAGTTAAAAAGTAATTGGTCCTGAACCGTCCAGGTATTGCTGGGGTGACCGGTCGCTGGGACGGCTAGAGCTTTCATTAAATGTAAGTTTTCGGTTCTCTTCGTGATTGTGTGTACATTGTTTCGGTTTGTGTCGTTAACTCACGACAATCGTTGTTTTGTCGTCTCATGTGTGAGGCCCCCGGCGTTTGTTGACTGACGATTGCTCTGCGCCGGTGAGTTGTGTGGGTCGCGACCCCCCCACCCCCACCCCCCGGTCATGCGTTGTGTTGAGATGATACCTCCGCACGTTTTTAACAGGTAGATAGGTTTCTCTTTTGCAAGCGGATTAAAGAAAGTGATTTCATTTTGTATCTTGCTTCAAGCAGACAGGTTATATATAGTTCGTAACAGAAAACTTTAAAAATATTAATTGTGACTGGAGTAAGATGGAACGGCGTGGTCGAGTGTTAGACTGCTACCCTGCTAACCTGAAGGGATTGTAGGAAGTCCCTGTCCACTAAGCTCTAATGCGTCCTTTGTGCATGTTAGGGAATGTGAATGCGGCTGAGCATAATATCCCTTCATATTATGCCGAGGTCAAGAAACATGAACTCTACTTCATCTGCGCTATGGATCTTCTCGTCCGAAAGGGAACTTAGAAAAGACAACTTAAAATCTACTTCTGACAAAAAATAAACCGGGAGTGATCTCCCCTAAACTTTCTCGAATATTCTTATATAAAATAACAGGGGATGGGAACTCGGGCTATAGACATGATTTTTAATCCATTTTAAATACTTAAAGTTTTAAAAATAGAATAAAATCTCGTAGACAAATTAATTGCACACCAAGTGAACGCGAATAAAAAAGCGCATAATAGTGCGCAATATTATTAGTACTTTTAAAATTTACATTAGTTTTTTGAGAAATCGGAAGTAGCGTAAATAAGTACTTCCGGTCAACGAAAAATTCTCAAAATTTGACAGAAGGTAGAGAATTAGATCTTTCACTTACATATCAAATTTCATCTATCTATCTGAAATAGTACTCAAGTTATAGGCTTTTGAAAAATTCAAAGTAGAAAAAGTACCACTTCCGGTTATCCGAAATCGCTCAAAAGTTGATACGGATCTACGATTTTGATAAAATACTTGTATATGAAATTTCATCAACCTAGCTGTAACGGTACTCAAGTTATCGTGTTTACACACGGACACACACACACACACACACACACACACAGACACACAGACATACGGACAAGATTGCAAAATTGTGTTTTTCCGTATCAGTGAGATGTAAAACGTCGAGATTTGCAAAAATCTCGATTTTTTTTTTTGCACGATTACAAGACTTTCTCTATACTTCGTATATACGAGAAAGTAAAAAAAACACTTTTTGACGACTTGTTTTATTTTCCATTCGACTAAAATAAACCGGGAGTGATCTCCCCTAAACTTTCTCGAATATTCTTATATAAAATAACAGGGGATGGGAACTCGGGCTATAGACTTCTAGACATGATTTTTAATCCATTTTAAATACTTAAAGTTTTAAAAATAGAATAAAATCTCGTAGACAAATTAATTGCACACCAAGTGAACGCGAATAAAAAAGCGCATAATAGTGCGCAATATTATTAGTACTTTTAAAATTTACATTAGTTTTTTGAGAAATCGGAAGTAGCGTAAATAAGTACTTCCGGTCAACGAAAAATTCTCAAAATTTGACAGAAGGTAGAGAATTAGATCTTTTACTTACATGTGAAATTTCATTTATCTATCTGAAATAGTACTCAAGTTATAGGCTTTTGAAAAATTCAAAGTAGAAAAAGTACCACTTCCGGTTATCCGAAATCGCTCAAAAGTTGATACGGATCTACGATTTTGATAAAATACTTGTATATGAAATTTCATCAACCTAGCTGTAACGGTACTCAAGTTATCGTGTTTACACACGGACACACACACACACACACACACACACACACACACACAGACACACAGACATACGGACAAGATTGCAAAATTATGTTTTTCCGTATCAGTGAGATGTAAAACGTCGAGATTTGCAAAAATCTCGATTTTTTTTTTGTGCACGATTACAAGACTTTCTCTATACTTCGTATATACGAGAAAGTAAAAATGACGAATTCACTATATTATATATTGATGTACAAAGCGATTATCTAAGCTTTGATCAAATCTTTGATGTGACTGACTGTTAAATCTACCTTCATGTGAAGCTTGGTTATACTGTAAAATCTTACTTTTCGTGTCTGATTGTGTTAAATTAACCTTCATGTGAATCTTATGTTGAGTGTTAAATCTACCTTCATATGAAGCTTGGTTGTACTGTGAAATCTTACTTTCAGTTTTAAATCTACCTTCATGTGAAGCCTGGTTATACTGCTAATGTTACTTTCAGAAAGTAGCGGTTCCGACAAGTCTGTGAATGTTTGATCTCAGCCAGGTGCCAACATGGCTCGCACTTGCTGCGACCTGCGTCCTACTCTACGTCTACCTCATGTCCTCGACACACAACACCTTCAGGAAACTTGGCATCCCCGGCCCCCGCCCCCTGCCGGTGCTGGGAAACACCTTGTACACCTTCAGGCACGGCTTGTTTGACACGGTCATCAGAGGATACAGGCACTTCAAGAAACAAAAGGTCATTGTATCAAACTTAAATATTTTAAGAAATTAGACATTCGAATTCAGACTTTCGTTATATTATGAGTAATATACCATAATACTTTAAAGCTTATTAATGGCAGTAAGTCTACATTTTGTAGCTCTGAAATATCTCTATAAGATGATAAATTAATTGTGCTTCCTTTTTGTTTAGTGTTATGGAGTTTTTGAAGGCCGGACGCCAATCCTGACGGTCACCGACCTGGACATGCTACAGGAAATCATGGTAAAAAAATCTGGCCATTTCATCAACCGACGTCAGTATGCCAGTTTGAACCAGCCCCGCGTTGACAGCATCATGTTCAACGCTACGGGCGAGCAGTGGAAGCAGTACCGCTCCCTACTGAAGCCGGCTCTCAACCCCGCCCGTCTGAAGGCCGTCTGCCCCAGCACGCTTCACCTGCTGGAGAACGTCTGCAGCGTCTTCAAGGAAAAATCCTGTAACGGCGAGGACGTCGAGCTGTCGGAAGTTCTGGGCTGTTTTTGTATGGATCTCATCGCTCAGCTGGGTTTCGATCTCGAATGCGACTCGCTGAGAAACCCAAACCACGAATTTGTTCAAAAAGCTCGGCATATTCTCAACGAATTCGGTCCGCGAACTTTTATTTTTGAGTTTTTCGCGCCGTCAATTTTAAAGCGTGTCTTAGATTTTTTTGGAATACTTATCCTCCCCAAGAAAGATATCCTTTTTCTCCGAGATTTTACTCGGCGTGTTTTGGAGCTCAGGAAATCAAGAAAAAACAACCCCGCCGATTTCTTACAGTACATGATTGACAACAGTGAACTCAGCGACACAGCAAAAAGCAGCCGAAAATTTACTATAGAAGAAATGTATGGCTCGTCCTTGACGTTGATTTTGGCCGGGTACGACACGTCTGCGAAAGGTTTTTATCATGCTTTGTATTTACTTGCGATGAACCCGAAATGCTTCGCGCATGCGCAGAAGGAAGTGGATGAAGTTCTTCAAGGCGAGGCTCCCAACACATCCAACATCCAAGGACTTCACTACCTGGATATGTGCATCAAGGAAAGCAACCGGCTTTATCCACTGGGATATTTTGTGGAGCGAAGATGCAACAAGGAGACGACTATCCACGGATTACGGATACCAGCCGGGATGGTTATCCGTATCCCGACCGCCGGGATCCACCGTGACCCGGAGATTTACCCCGACCCAGATACGTACGAGCCTGAGAGATTTACTCCAGGTCAGACTGGGGCCAGACACCCCATGGCGTACATCCCGTTTGGTGCTGGACCGAGGTCATGCTTTGGTGAGCCGCTGGCACTGATGGTCATCAGGATGGGGATGGCTAAAATTCTACAAGTGGGTCAATTCTTTCTAGAGCCAAATGTTTTATATATAGGCTTATAAATATTTACTACATTAGAGTAAGCTATATCTACACAAACACACACACACACACATATATATATATATATATATATATATATATATATATATATATATATATATATATATATATATATATATATATATATATATATATATATTTATATATATATATATATATATATATATATATATATATATATATATATATATATATATATATATATATATATATATATATGTATATATGTGCATGGAAATAGAATTAAATCAATAAATATTGTTTCGTATAATTTGGTATTGTTATTTTTAATTTTCAGGAGTTCAACATCCGGTCATGTGATAAATCCGTGTATCCAATCAGATTGAAGCCCATGGATGACATCATAGCAGACCACGGGTTTTGGGTGAATGTCACACCCAGAAAGTTGGACAACCACAAAAGTTGTAATTGATATCAATCGGCGGGTTGCTGGGGTTGCTCAAGCAAAGCGTCACGCATGGCAGCTGACGTGGACACGTTCGATTGGTCACGTCCGTCATGAAGCATGATAGACGAGAATTTAAAGTTGTTTTAAGTTTTCATTACATGACGTCTCCATCAGCTTAATCCAAATCTGTTTCCCCAACACCAGCCGTTATTTTATTTGTTGCACGATCAAGTTGTCAAAATTCTGCTTGAAGTCAAGACCTCGTTCTAAATTATGAAATCTGGCATTAATAAAAAAAAACGTAAAGAAGTGGTGGTTTTTTTGTGGTGTAATGGTGGTAAAATGGAGCCGCGTGAAATTAGTGAAAGTCTTTCTTGTTTTCTACCACGCCCCGCCACGTCGGTTAAACCTTGATACGTCACGCTTCGCTGCATGCAATCGTATTATCCTTACACCAAAAATATAATAAAAAATTGAATTATTTTTTTCTTTGAGATATTTTTTACGCTAATTAAGATAACTTAATAAATGAATGATTAGTGGCCAGGATTCCATCTGTTTGACAGGCCAGCTAGCGTTGTGCTGTCGAATTGTAAAGAAACCGAAAGAAAGACCGAAATGGGGCCTCTAGAGACTTGCCTATACACTGGAAGCAAGTGCTACATAGAGACTTGGACGCCGCTGTAAAGTGTTTACCATGCCTGGCCAGTTACCGCCCTTTACCCGCCTATCAGAAGCGGTTTCTAAACCTTTAGGAAAACGAAGTCTTTCAGAAGCCGCCAAAAAAAATCGATTTGCTTTTTTGAGTTACTGTGTCGCCTGCATAATTTTCTCTGTTCGTCGGGAAAAGGCAGTTTTGTAATTGTATGTGTGAAGGCGCTATCAATCATAGAGGTCATGGATTGCTACATGATCAATCAATGGCAAACGAATGCTTAATTAACGTCTTAAATAAGCGACTAATATAAGTACACAGTCAATAGCACACGAATGCTTAATTACACTTCAACTATATATATGCTTCTTTTTTATGTATGGAATAAATAGCTGGTAAATGCTTAAATGGAGTAGAAAAATAAGTCGTTATTATGTACAGGTTAAATGCAGATCCCTGCCAAGAAAGTATTAATGTATAGGGACATTTTCTTATCGAAGCGAGAGTGTTTATTAAATGAATTGTATATGGGAAAATGAAATGAACATCTGAACGAAATCTCATGGTGATTATTTGTGGTCCTGGATTTTACAAGAAAACATCTGGTTGTTGGCTGAATTAGGGGTTGTTCATTTGATACTCCTAAAATATGAGGGGTGTTTCCTGTGAGGTTTGGGGGTGGGGGGGGGGGGGTGTTGATATGTCACCCCTAACATCTGAGAGACCAAAAGAATGCTTCAGTAAAGTAAGTAGTAAAGTGACCAAGCTGGTCATGTGGGTATCTGTGTGGTTGTGACGTCATATGGCCAGTGTTGATCGCACTTGACATCATTTACGTAGATTTTGCCGACAAATTCTTTTACAATCATACCTAAAGAATTTATAGATTCTTTTATGTTCTTATTTTTGCTGCATTTTAAGATTTTTATTTTATTTTCAAGATTTATTTTAAAATTGAATACATCTTTCATATTCTTTTTTTTTAGAATCATTATAGTATGTTGACATATAGACCTGCATTCTAAAAATCATTTTATACCGTATTTATTTTTCTATCAGAAATCCACAGGACTAAAATCTTTGCTTATAACCAGCTGGCTGCAATAAATGCCAGTTATCTGCCCCTTGATAGATCTTGTAATGGAGTGGTCTAGTGGTAAAGCGCATGCCTATTAACCAGAAATCTTGAGTTTGGATTCTGTACTGGAGGCCACAAAATATCCCAAGTTCAATAATGGAGATTAAAGACAGAGCATAGAAGTGACCATACTAGCTCTATCTTATCTGCCGTCCCAAATGGTAACCTTGTTTACTTTTACTATCGCCAGTTGTTTGTGAACACAGCTCATAAGGCTGACTGAGTGATCGGGATTGGTTGATTATCTCCCCTTATGTTATTGAAACTAATAATCTTCTAATATCTAATTAAATATCTAATTAGATTAAAAATTATATACTTTTGCGTTTTAATTGAAGATGCACTTATCTAAAAGTTTGAATGAAGTAGTTTCATTAAAAAATGTGTCCAAAATTAATTAAGAGAATATTTGGCCACAAACCCCCCCACACACACATAGACGAGTTTAGTTTTGTTTACATTATGTACAAGAAGTTCTGTGTGTCGTCTGTTCAGTTGTCTCTAGACTAGTTTTCATCCGCTAGTACGGGCGATTTGACGTCATTATTTCATTATTATTTTAGTAAGCTTTTATGCTTGTGCAGGGAAAAGGTGTTAAAATAATTTTGATAAATATTAATTACTTGTAAAATTTTAAAAAATTTTTTACAAGTAGTAATATATTTTCTTTTAAAAAATACACATTACAATTATATACAAATATCTCTCTGTCATTTAAAAATTAGCACAAATAAATGAAAAATATTCATATATTTATTCCTTTGAAATTGATATCATAATTATTTCAACCCAATTTAAAACGAAAATTTAAATGAAGTTTGAGGTAAGACCTAGGACAACATGCACAGTGAACCGGAGCTATGAAAAGTTTTAACTAACCTTTCGAGTAATAAAAAAAAATTCAATTACATCTAAAAGCTGTTACAAAACGCCAACTCACAAAAAAGCTGCAGAGATTTAAACAAAAAATTAAAAAACTGTAAAAAGATTTTTGTTAGAAAAAAAAACGGAGGAAACCTGAACAAAAACAAAGCCGCTTCGACATTTCATTAAAAACTCCAGGCTATAAAAAGATTTGGCCCTAACTTTTGGCTTCTTGTCAGCGTTTGATTTAGATGGCAGTTACAACGTGTGTGTTTTGTTAGTGCCCAGAATGTTATTTCAAAGATTTGGCGTGGTCGCCCACCAGTGAATGCTATTGACACGAGCAATCGGTGGTTATTATGGCAACTTGGCCCGCATTACTGCTATCCAGAGTTTCCAGGGGCTCGGTAGAAAATTAAACCGGAGGGCTAATCTTCGGTTTAGGCAAGCCAATGCGGAATGATCTTTTTACATACACAATACTCCAGACTAATGACGTCAAGGATTTTCTACTGCTAGATACGGACTATGGTTAGTGGGGAACAGTGGCGTTGTCAGGATTTTCGCTATAGGGAGGGGGTTTGAATTCTAATTGTTTTATTGTTTTTCCGTATATATATATATATATATATATATATATATATATATATATATATATATATATATATATATATATATATATATAAGCGACATAAGCGCTCAGTCGCTAATAGCAGTACTGTAGAATGATACTGTTGTCATTTAGGGGTTGCAGAAAGATGGGGGTTCTGATCCCCCATAACACCCCCTAGCTACGCCAATGTAAGTGAACATTGGTGGTAGATCGGAGGGGGCGGGGGGGGGGGATAATATTGCAAAGAATGGGGCGCAAGTGGTGAAACAAGTAGCGGGTAGGTCTGTTGTTAGGGACAGGGGTAGGGGTGGGTGATCGGTCGGTGAGAGGGATTTAAAGATTTCGTTGTTTTAGTAGCACTGGCGTCTTAAAGAGGCGTGGGATTAACGCGGATTATCGGCTCTTACCGCAGACGATACGAGGCTCATTATAACAAGCGACGTTGTCGGATGTTTTTAGCCAATAGATAAGCCAAGTAGTATTATTAAAACCTGGTGAAATTATTGCCAATTATACCGAGAATTCGCATTCAATTTTCTCTTTAAAATTTAATTATTTTTTCTTGCACTAACCAACAGCCTTGCTGTGAACTTCAAACAAAGTCACGCGCTAAGCGTCTTTGTCAAGTCATTAATATATTTCCGGAAACAGGTCAATTTTGTGTAATTATAGCAACGCAAATATTTGGCTACATATTTTACGTGTTTTTGGCCACGAGTGTAGAAAAATCTGGCCACGAGCCATTATATAAAACTACAATTTTGTTTCGCTTTCAAGCATTGTTTTTTTAATCTGCAGGGCGGGGCTAGATGAATTGTTCTTATCAAAACAACGATTGCTGACACAACTATATTCTGACACTGTGATCCTAATCTGGTTATTGGGTTTTCCCCATTATTGATTTTTTTGTGCAGTTCATTTGTGTTTAGAGATCATCTAGTTCGCTTCCTGCGTTGTCAAGAAGCCAACTTCTTGGCTAGACAAAGACAAGCGCTGCTAACATTTGGGATAGGTTTGGTTTAAGCAGGTTATAAATCTAAAATGTGGGATCGAGTACCAGTGACACCGACATTTTGACAGATTTATTTATTTGCAAATTTTATACAAAACGACTAACTCGTACATCACTGACTAACTGATTCAACAAATATTAGTGGTGTCACTGACAAACGGATCATGTGACAGGTGTCACTGACAAACTGGTAATGTGACATGTGTCACTGACAAAATGATCACGTATAATAATTATAACTGATAAACTGATCACGTTAGAATAAATAGTCCTCATTATTATCTTTTCCGTTTGTGCCAAAGAGGGAACATTAGTCAGCACTATGCAGAGCCTGGAGGGAACATTAGTCAACATTATGCCCAGCCTGGAGGGAACATTAGTCAACACTATACCCATCTGAGAGGGAACATTAGTCAACACTATGCCCAACAAGGAGGGAACATTAGTCAACACTATGCCCAACAAGGAGGGAACATTAGTCAACACTATGCCCAGCCGGGAGGGAACATTAGTCAACACTATGCCCAGTCTGGAGGGAACATTAGTCAACACTATGCCCAGCTGAGAGGGAACATTAGTCAACACTATGCCCAGCCGAAAGGGAACATTAGTCAACACTATGCCCAGCCAGGAGGGAACATTAGTCAACACTATGCCCAGCTGAAAGGGAACATTAGTCAACACTATGCCCAGCTGAAAGGGAACATTAGTCAACACTATGCCCAGCTGAAAGGGAACATTAGTCAACACTATGCCCAGCTGAAAGGGAACATTAGTCAACACTATGCCCAGCTGAAAGGGAACATTAGTCAACACTATGCCCAGCTGAAAGGGAACATTAGTCAACACTATGCCCAGCCAGGAGGGAACATTAGTCGACACTATGCCCAGCCAGGAGGGAACATTAGTCAACATTATGCCCAGCCAGGAGGGAACATTAGTCAACACTATGCCCAGCTGAAAGGGAACATTAGTCAACACTATGCCCAGCGGAGAGGGAAC